TTTAATATAATTATTTCTTATAATTTTTTTAAATTATTATTTATTACATTTTTTTTTAACAATTTTTTTTTCCCACTTAACTTTATTGCTATCACACAGGAGCTAACAATCTTCTGTGTGATAGCAATTGGAGGTGACAAGTTCTCTTGATCCCACACTATTGATCCCACACTGTGCTAGAACTCCTTTGACAGCAGAGATGGGAAGACGGCGCTCCCCCCTCACTACACGGGCAGCTCTGCTCACTGCATCGGCGGCAGCTACTCAGAGCAGAGGCTCGGCGGCTGGGGGAGGACAGAGCCTGGCGGACGATGCAAGCGAGGAGAGACATAGGTGCAGGGGAGGGGAGGGGGGAACGGGCTGCAAACTTGTGATTTCGGCGACATCGCTGAGATCACTTGTAAACGTACACGGCTTCCCCACACTTACCGCCCAGAACTGTATGTTCCGGGCGTTGGGGGATTCCACACCGCTGCCACCCCTCTGCGCCGTGCCGCCCCAAGGCCGGGCCTTGGTGGCCTTGTGGGGAATCCGGGCCTGCCTGAGAGGTCCCGAAAGCGCTTGTTTCCATTCTGACAACTTGTTCAATAAAATGAGCATTTGGTGATTCTAAAAAGGATCTTCGGTGTGCTGGTGACATTCTTCACAATCATCCGAGGAACACAGATTTGTCCAAGTGATATCAAGGGTTGTATAGTTCAAGGAAGTCCGAGGAGGGTTCTTCTTGGGTTCCTGATGACATCACTTCAAGTAACACCACATTCAGTGATGTAGTTGAATGTAGGACGTAAGCCCTTGTTTCCTTTTTGGGGAGCCCAGCATGCAACTTGGTGGATGTTAAAAGATACATTTTTGTTACATTTAGAACCTTTATATTTAAAGTTTTTTCAACCTTCAGATACTTCCATGTTCTTATGAAGCGGAAAAATTCTAGAGCTGCCATTTTGTTTAGGCAATGAACCCGTGGAACAGAAGGGAAAAAAAGAACTTTGCCCAAAATATGTTTTTTTTAGAAGTTTTTATACTTCTCACTATGGTTTACCTTCACAACTTTCCATTGTAACTTGGATACAATTTAGCACCAAAATGGGACAAAGAAAAAAACCCAAAGACAGTTTTTAGCTAATTTTTAGGGATCGTCTCCTTGGCATCCAGACCTCCAATGACTTCTTCCAGTCTGAGTAAACGGGACGGATGAGCACTCACCGGTGTGATGACAGTCAGGTCAGGTAAGTGGCTTCCTCCGGCACACGGGTGGTTGCTTAGAATGACATCTCCTTCCTTCAGGTCATCCTGCAGGCTTCTAATCTGAAAAAAAACACAAAAAAAACCAAAACCAAAAGTTATAAGGATACTAAAGAGTAATAATCAGTTCATATGCATGAAGAGCTCGGACCAGAGTCTAGAATTTCCAGAAAATCAACTGCATCTTTGAAGTAGGAGGAGAGCACCTCTCCTGCGGTCTCCAGACCAGACAGCAGTGAATGGGGCCCAAGGAAGTAAGAAGAACAGATACACAAGAAAAGCTATATAGTGATGATGTCATCCTTGACTCGGACCTCACCTTTCTTCCCCACATCCAATCACTATCCAAATCCTGCCGTCTTCCCCTTCCTAACATCTCCAAAATACGCCCCTTCCTCACCAATGACACCGCAAAACTACTCATCCACTCCCTTGTTATCTCTCGTCTTGTCTATTGCAACTCCCTCCTCATTGGCCGACCTCTACACAGGCTCCTCCCCTTCAATCTATCATGAATGCAGCTGCTAGACTCATTCACCTGACCAGGGTCTGCAACCCCCCTCTGCCGATCACTGCACTGGCTTCCATCCCCCACCCCCTCTGCCAATCCCTGCACTGGCTTCCATCCCCTACCCCCCTCTGCCAATCCCTGCACTGGCTTCCATCCCCCGCCCCCCTCTGCCAATCCCTGCACTGGCTTCCACTCGCTCATAGGATACAATTCAAAATATTAACAACCACTTATAAAGCCATCCACAACTCCGCCCCCGGATATATCTCAAAGTATCACCCTAACCGTCCCCTCCGCTCTTCAAATGACCTTCTGCTTTCCAGCTCCCTTGTCCACTCCTCCCATGCTGGCCTCCAGGACTTCTCTAGAGTCTCTCCCATCCTCTGGAACTCTTTACCCCAACCTGTCCGTCTATCTCCCACTCGGACTACCTTCAGGCGATCCCTTAAGACTCATCTCTTCAGGGAAGATGATCCCACCTCAACCTAACCAACTATCACGCTCTCAAACAATTAATCCCCACACAGCTCCCTCCTCATGTTTCACTGGCCCCTCCCTTTTAGATTGTAAGCCCTCAGGGGCAGGGCCCTCCTTACCAACTTGTCTTGTATTGTGATTGTAATGTCTTCCTTATATTGTAAAGCGCTGCGCACACTGTTGGCGCTCTATAAATCCTGTATAATAATAATATAATAATAATTTATGAACAGACAAAGTTCATCTAAAAGCCGAGACGGATTTCTGACCTGGAACTGGACCGTCTCTTGCATGGCTCCCAGGTGGACAGGAATGTGGGGGGCGTTAGACACCAGACCGCCGTCAGGGCCAAACAGAGCACAGGAGAAGTCCAGACGCTCCTTAATGTTGGTGGAGATGGCCGTCCGCTGCAGGATACGCCCCATCTGTTCTGTGGAAGGAGATTGGACAGCAGGTCAATGCTACGGCACAACCCAGTGCGACATTCATACAGCAGAGGCGAGAACTCGGCCGACGTGGACAACCTGCGATGCTCATGAAGCGGTGGGAGAAGATGGACAGCTGGATGGTGTCCAATTCGGTTCCGATCGCCTGCTGTTTCCCGCTTGCCACTGTGATCCGCACGTCCCCGTGCTCCGTAATAGAAGCCGCGCAGTCCGGCTCCACCAGGATGGTGCTACAAAATGACCGACACCGCGGTATATGAAAGCGTGACTCCAGGCAAAAGAAGACACAAAACACAACTTAGATAGGCAGGGCCGGTGCTAGACTATTTCACACCCTAGGCAAGGCCATCTACTTGCACCCCCCCAGCAGGGGCATCCCGAGGCTGGGTGACACCTGGAGCGGTAACCGGGTGTCACCCCACCGAGACGTCATCGCACACGCGCGGCGATCTTCTGAGAGAGGAGGGACAGTCACCTGGCGGGATAAGGTATTAGTGGTCAAGGCTGCGCCCTAGGCAGCAGTACGCCCTAGGCGGCTGCCTAGTTTGCCTAGTGGAAGCACCGGCCCTGTAGACAGGTTCACTTAAAGCTGAACTCCAGGCAGATATAGAAGCGTACCTGTTCTTATCAATGATGATGGCGGGGCCGGGGATAGTGTGGTCACATGACAGCTCCTCCAGGAGGTACACATTGGTGTCCTTGTACCCGTCTTCAAAGTAGCATTTGGTCACCTGGTCAGAGGGGGCGGAGATTAGATGGAGCTTGTATTTAAGGCTGATGATGGCCTTCCCTCTTCAAGGATGGAAAGACATGTCAACGGGCATAGTGCACCCCCGCACAATGACTGCACACATTCACCTACCTTCTCTACATGTGCCGGCTGTCCGCCGGGTGTGATGCGGCTCTCGCAGCGGATTCCGGTACTGCCGGTCCCTCGTACGCGGATGTCATCCACCACAATAGGCCTGGATGGGATGGTGAATCCAAACTCCTTCATGTACCTGGAAAAGCCAAGAGGTCCCGCCAAGCAGGAGATCCATTTCACTGGTCTATAATGATCAGCAGAACCAAGTCCCTCATCCCAAAAACTGGAGGACTCCCCGAGGATCCAAAGCTATCGCCAGAACTCCCAACATCTGCAGAACCCTGCCAACGGTCCTTGTGAGTTTATATCATAACACTCTCCTCTCCTTGAATACTCTGCTGGAGGACTCTGCTCCTTCCCCTATATCTCTCCTCTCCTGAATATTCTCTGGTCTGCTGGAGGACTCTGCTCCTTCCCCTATATCTCTCCTCTCCTGAATATTCTCTGGTCTGCTGGAGGACTCTGCTCCTTCCCCTATATCTCTCCTCTCCTGAATATTCTCTGGTCTGCTGGAGGACTCTGCTCCTTCCCCTATATCTCTCCTCTCCTGAATATTCTCTGGTCTGCTGGAGGACTCTGCTCCTTCCCCTATATCTCTCCTCTCCTGAATATTCTCTGGTCTGCTGGAGGACTCTGCTCCTTCCCCTATATCTCTCCTCTCCTGAATATTCTCTGGTCTGCTGGAGGACTCTGCTCCTTCCCCTATATCTCTCCTCTCCTGAATATTCTCTGGTCTGCTGGAGGACTCTGCTCCTTCCCCTATATCTCTCCTCTCCTGAATATTCTCTGGTCTGCTGGAGGACTCTGCTCCTTCCCCTATATCTCTCCTCTCCTGAATATTCTCTGGTCTGCTGGAGGACTCTGCTCCTTCCCCTATATCTCTCCTCTCCTGAATATTCTCTGGTCTGCTGGAGGACTCTGCTCCTTCCCCTATATCTCTCCTCTCCTGAATATTCTCTGGTCTGCTGGAGGACTCTGCTCCTTCCCCTATATCTCTCCTCTCCTGAATATTCTCTGGTCTGCTGGAGGACTCTGCTCCTTCCCCTATATCTCTCCTCTCCTGAATATTCTCTGGTCTGCTGGAGGACTCTGCTCCTTCCCCTATATCTCTCCTCTCCTGAATATTCTCTGGTCTGCTGGAGGACTCTGCTCCTTCCCCTATATCTCTCCTCTCCTGAATATTCTCTGGTCTGCTGGAGGACTCTGCTCCTTCCCCTATATCTCTCCTCTCCTGAATATTCTCTGGTCTGCTGGAGGACTCTGCTCCTTCCCCTATATCTCTCCTCTCCTGAATATTCTCTGGTCTGCTGGAGGACTCTGCTCCTTCCCCTATATCTCTCCTCTCCTGAATATTCTCTGGTCTGCTGGAGGACTCTGCTCCTTCCCCTATATCTCTCCTCTCCTGAATATTCTCTGGTCTGCTGGAGGACTCTGCTCCTTCCCCTATATCTCTCCTCTCCTGAATATTCTCTGGTCTGCTGGAGGACTCTGCTCCTTCCCCTATATCTCTCCTCTCCTGAATATTCTCTGGTCTGCTGGAGGACTCTGCTCCTTCCCCTATATCTCTCCTCTCCTGAATATTCTCTGGTCTGCTGGAGGACTCTGCTCCTTCCCCTATATCTCTCCTCTCCTGAATATTCTCTGGTCTGCTGGAGGACTCTGCTCCTTCCCCTATATCTCTCCTCTCCTGAATATTCTCTGGTCTGCTGGAGGACTCTGCTCCTTCCCCTATATCTCTCCTCTCCTGAATATTCTCTGGTCTGCTGGAGGACTCTGCTCCTTCCCCTATATCTCTCCTCTCCTGAATATTCTCTGGTCTGCTGGAGGACTCTGCTCCTTCCTCTATAACTATCCTCTTCTGATATACTCTGCTCTGCTGGAGGACTCTGCCCCTTCATCTATAACTCTCCTCTCCTGAATATTCTCTGGTCTGCTGGAGGACTCTGCTCCTTCCTCTATAACTCTCCTCTCCTGAAGGACTCTGCTCTGCTGGAGGACTCTGCCCCTTCATCTATAACTCTCCTCTCCTGAATATTCTCTGGTCTGCTGGAGGACTCTGCTCCTTCCTCTATAACTCTCCTCTCCTGAAGGACTCTGCTCTGCTGGAGGACTCTGCCCCTTCATCTATAACTCTCCTCTCCTGAATATTCTCTGGTCTGCTGGAGGACTCTGCTCCTTCCCTTATAACTCTCCTCTCCTGAATATACTCTGCTCTGCTGGAGGACTCTGCTCATATCACCATGTAACTCAGTCTGTCTTCCTGTCACCTTGAGCCCTGTCCTCACACAGTCACAGCAGGTCACGGACCCCCGGGTACAGTGACATATCCCCCCCCATACTCTGCTCCTTGTGATCTCCTGCTTGCAATGAATACATCACTTGGGGCCCCTCTGATACCTCACCTGGCAGTGAAGGCGTTTTTGAAGTCCCCCGCGTGGCAGGAGTCGGGGTGTGCTGGGTATCCCTTGGCGGAACACATGAGGGCGCAGTCGGTGCGCTCGTAGCGGAGGTGCAGGAACGGCTCCGCGTCGATCTGCGATCTTGTAGGAGAATCAGAACATAAATCTCATTACAGAAATCTCTGCACACGCCTCATGTATGTGATATGTGACTCACGTGAGAGACACTAATAAAGGAGACCTGTCCAGAGAGTGGAAGCTGCCATTGCCGAGCTCTCCTTGTAAAGGGAATGCCGTTTGCCTGGCTGTCATGCTGGCTCCATCCTTCTTGGAAGAAACGTGTCACTTCTGGAACTAGGAAGGCAACACAGTGACAGCTGGAGCCGGGAATGGTTTGTTTACAAACAACCCTCATGTGACCACCGTATCAAAGCTGTCATAGTGATCACATGACCGAGAGCCGTGCTGACTGGAGCGGTCACAGACATCACTTGCGCCCGTGTTTCACCGAGATCTTCGGACTTTCCTCCAACTTTGCTGATCTGTGGACTCGTTCCAGGTCAATGACTTGCCAGTATAACAGCCAGGGGGATCTAGCATTTTCAGCCACGGCAGCCCTCATATTTCAGGAGTGTCTCATTCACATCTGAAGCACAAACTATCAGTAAACTCCCCTTTACCATGAGGAGTCCCTTCCGGGGCCACCGAGAGTACCCCACATTTTCTATAGGATAGTCCCCCTCCCCCCCAACCTCAAACCGTATGCAAATCTGAACAATGAAATTCCCCTATTTGCTCCCTTTTGGTCTTTTGAATATTCCATTGAAAGTGTTTTCTTATATCTGTTCAATTAGTTTTACAAATAATCCCGTTGATCCCGCCACAGATCTTATCAGCTGATAGGTTTCTGCCTGTGCTGACTGCTACCAGTTAGATGGTTTCCAGTTGTCTGTATGATCTACATACCAGCACCCCACTCATGTTATTGGTAGAAGGAGAGGGGGGAGGTATTCTGTAGTCCTATTTTAAAAAGGTGACAACGCTGCTCCTCCATATATTCAATACAGTGAGCGTTGTCACCCTTGGACAAGAAATGATACTGGCAGGATTTCCAGGTGAAAATAAAGAAAACGAATGCAGCCTATTGATCACAGATAGATAGATAGATAGATAGATAGATAGATAGATAGATAGATAGATAGATAGATAGATATTAGCTATCCCCTGCAGGACTCTTGTTAAATCTCCCTCTTCAGATGAGATACATTTTGAGCGCACAAAGGGAAGACAGAAGTTCAGGTTATTAAACCACAGAGGATTTTTCTGCAAAGCTTTTAGAACACATCTCCTACACTAAAACTCGACACCCCCCCCGGAGGATATTACTGGATAATACTGGCTGCCAAAATGACAGCAGAGACTGGCTTTGTAACACAGGAGGCGGGGATATCAACATGCAGCCACTCCCACAATGACACTTGAGGATCGGCTTCCAGTGTCATTCATATAAATCACAGGTGTGACCTCTCATCTGCGTATGATATCACTTAGAGAAACCTTATAAGCCGCTTTCTTTTTAATAAATGGGATTCCAGTTCAAACAAATCACATCCATAGGGGGGGGG